TGCGTACTCCGAAAACCTAGCGTCAAATAAGAGCGGAGCGCGTACTACTACTAGCCTAGCGTCAAATAAGAGCGGAGCGCGTACTACTACTAACCTAGCGTCAAATAAGAGCGGAGCGCGTACTACTACTACTACTACTCCTCCTCCTCCTCCTCCTCCTACTACTACTACTACTACTGCTACTGCTACTGCTACTGCCACTGCCACTGCCACTGCTTCTACTACTCTTATTACCACTGTTATGGCCACCGCCCAGGCGACGATCACTACCACTACCACTTCAACTACCACTACCACCATCACCACTACTACTAATACTAATACTCGGCTTTCATACTCACGTCACAAAAAATTCTAGCAGCTGTGTGCTGCAAGCAGCGAGGGTTGTAAACACCATCAGCAGAAACAACGACGACAGCAGTTGTCGAGTATGGAAAAAAGAGCGATAGTGCAGCACCAGCCAAAACACGTGTGCTCAGCGGGGGGGTTAATCTATCCGCGAACATCACCCTCCAGTCCTCAAGAGGCAAGACAAAACAATAACAGTAGCGGTCTAGGAAGCAAGCAGATGGGAGAAGTCAAAGACAACGCTTAGAATGTCATTTGCCAATCGGCCTTCCTTCAAAAAAGTACTGTGAGCGGCTGCTGGGCAAAATAGAGCCCCTCAAATCCCAAAGCAAACCATGCTTAAAAAGGTTGACTCAACACCTCTGCCGAAGCCAACTTTGAGCTTTGCGCCCTAGACCCTGTTGTAAGGGACAAGACTACTAAAATCTGCTACAGGGGTTGGATGGAACATAATTGGGCCAAATTGTCGTGCACCAACATAGTTTGCCGGGCCTCTCAACTCTAAGCCTGAATGATCGCGAGAGTCCTCCCGTTGAAACCCTATGGCAATACAGTACGATGTACCCCAAAACTCTGTTCTTAAATCATGTTGTCTCTACATACGCACGGTATGGACGAGGTTCTCCGAGTCATGGGTTTCTTCTGAAAGCCGCTTGATGCATACAAGAGAGATCTTAGTCCTACGCTCACCACGGACATGTAGACCTGTCAGTGTATGGACCCTTTTACGTGCGACTTGGCGGGACTTTGCTTTCACCTGCGCAACAAGGGCAGCTGGAGAGCTTGTAGAAAGCAAGTCAAGCCCAACCTTCCCTGTAGCCTCGTGGTTTAGGGTTCAGGGGTTTAGGGTTTCGGGAACCCTGGGACTTGACAACATGAATCCTAAAGCGTGCGGCCTCAACTCCCCTGCATCTAGAACGAGCCACCGAGCCAAGCACCCAAACCCCAAACCCTAGCTTTTAACTTTTCTATTATCCCAATTTAACCCCAATATACTATAGTAGTTTCCATTTTCTTTTCCATTATCCCAATTTAACCCCAATATACTATAGTAGTTTCCATTTTCTTCTCCATTATCCCAATTTAACCCCAATTTACTATAGTAGTTTCCAACCACAAGTGCAGGCCTTTCCACCCGCTGCGGCACAGGCACGTAATTCTCCCTCTGCACTGGAACTTCGACCTTACACTTGGATGTTTATGGGTAATTACACATGGAATATCATGGGGGCATAAAGGGGATTGCACCGAGGTTGACGGCGCATGGCTACTGACTAACCTCCAAGCCCTCAAATTGAGAAATATGCGCGGTGAGATTGAGGGGTTTCCCAACATTAGGGGTACCTTAGAGGGATCTATAGGGGGTTATATGGGGAGAGGTACGTTTTTGGTGCTTCCAGAATAGGGATGAAGCATTATGGGGTCTACATTGGGGTCTCCTCATGTTGGAAAACTGCCAAATGGATGGGCAGTTGCAATGCGGTCCTAGCAAATGGACTTCTCGACAGCACTGCAACACCCCCTCACCTTGATAGCTTCCCAAAATAAGGGGAACCCAGTATAGACCCAAACATACTACACGCCTTATTAGTGGGATCCCCAAAATGGCACCCCTGACTTTAGCAAACCCTAAACCCTAATCCCCATAGTAGGTCTGCATGGAGTAAAGGGCTGTTCGTATGAGGTTTTGGCTCTCACTCCACTGTCTGGGCTGGTAGCTGGTAGCTCAAGGCATCAGCCTGCTACCAAGGTTTAGGGTTTAGGGCTGATATTCCCTCAATATGGAAAATCAGATGGAAAAGCAAATGGAAAATGAAATGGAAACTACGATGTTATGGGGTGATCTTTCAAAAAACAGGCAGCTCAACCGATGGGCTCTTCAGTGGACACAGCTTAGGGCTTAGGGCTTAAGGTAGCGCTCAAACCTCGAACCGAGAGAAACCTTCCACTGGAAACCCAGATATAGACTCGTTTGGCTTTTTCGAAAATGCCACCCCATCTCTTGCCCTCAAAAGCCATAGCCCTTCTCAACGGACGCTAAGATGGGATCTGAGATTTCGCGCATTCTTTTGCATTGCCGGAGTCAGCTGGCATGTCCTATGGACCAGGTACCAGTTGGATACCTCACGCAGCCATATCTGGAACCTGGTAATGCAGGGATATTTGAAACAGGGTTTTCGCATACCATGGTACTGCAAGGACTGAAAGACATACCCAGTAGCTCGAGCTCATACAGTACCCACCCGGACGGTATCCGTAGCGTGAACCCTGAACCCGTGAATCTTGGAGTTCTGCGGCAAGTGACCTCATACTGACTGAGACTTTGTCGTGGAAACCGTTGAAGGCATCAGACCCGCCTTGTCTCACTGGTTCTTAGTAGGGAATAAGGGACTACAATCCCTTTGTAATTTCTATATAATGTATTCCCATCTTCCCCAATAAGAACCAGAAAGTTCTAGTAATCAAAAAGACCCCAGTGTCTTGACAAGCAAGGGAGACCCTTTTCGTGGAATAGCAGCCCAGCCAATACCGTACCTGCCTTTGAAGTCCCCACACTTCAGACCGTGGAGTTTGCTACGCAGACAAGGGATATGTCTTTGAAACATAGCAATTTCTTGCTTCCATATTAGGGTATTCATAATCCCCTAAACCCTAAACCACTCTCTAGTCTACATTTGACCATTATTTTCAGCTTTGGATCCAGATTGAAGACCATACACCAGGCAGCTCATAGTTGAGCTTTTGCGGGTTTAGGATTGTTTCAGGCTCTCTCTACAACCCTATCACTGCCTTTGACCAGGGCGGTCAAATCGGGGAGGCAGTGATTTAGGGCTTAGGGGCAGGGATAACTAGAAAGTCGCAAAGGGACTATACGGAAGTTGCTCAAAAAATTGGAAACTATTATAGTATATTGGGGCTATATTGGGATAATGGAAAAGGAAATGGAACCTACTGTAATGGGGTCATATAGGGTTTAGGGTTTAAGGATAATGGAAAAGGTGAGCTGCTATACCCTAAACCCTAAACCCTAAACCCTAAACTGAGCCTTAAGAAGGAAGCCCATTCACACACTCATAATATGAGGGTTTCCCAAAATTAAGGGTATCCTTTTAGGGGTTATATAGGGCTATATAGGGTTTAGGGTTTAGGGTATGGGGGGGTTCCCAAAATTAGGGGTACCTACTATAATGGAGAATCAAATGGCAAAGAAAATTGAAAATGAAATGAAAACTGTGTTTATATAGGGGATTATAGGGATTAGGGTTTCCCAAAATTAGGGTCATCTTGTTGGGGTCCCAATAATGAGGATTATCGTATTTTGGGGTTTATATTGGGGTCGCCCTATTTTGGGGTACAGCCCCTTTTGCTTCTTGGGTCCTTTAGCGCCCACATGTCCCCATTCTTAGATAGTTATCATATAGCTTCAGCTTTCTCCCAGTCGGCCGCAGATCATCTTACGGTCCATAAACCCCAAAACACTCAGACCGCAAACACAACACATGTTGACCATAAAACCTTGGGATTTCCACTAGAATTGAAAAGTTCCAAACTCTAAACACTAAGCTCCCCAAAGCCCGAAAACCTGGCTCAGGATCTCATGGCCACTGCACAGTGGAGTTTGCAAATACGCAGGCTGGGAGCCACTTCAGCGCCATGCGAGCTTCGTTTAAAACACACGGTTTATATTTTGGCGTGAAAATTTTCAATACATAAGGGTTATATGGTGTTGCATGGAGTTACGTGGGGGATATCAAGGGATTGTAGACTGTCAGAATTCTGGACTATACTAAACTACAGGAGGGACCCCTACATCCACCCTTAATGGTCCCTTTGTATGGCTAAACACTCACAGTAGCTCATATCGAATTCCTATAAACAGCTATACCAGTTTCCATGTTGTTTTTTGTGTTCTTTACCATTCGGTTCTCCATTATTGGGGGCAATAAGGGCCCCTTAAAAAGGCGAATATCAATATCAGGTCGGAATCGGTGAAATGCGAACTGCGTCTATGTTGGGGTCCCCCTACTTTGGGAAACTACTGTTTTAGGCGTATGCAAAAGGATCCTGGTTAACCAGAGAAATCAAGACAGTAGCGACACAATTCCATTAAAGCTCCTTGTACAGTCCTGCGTGAGGAGATAGAATGCGAGGGTGCGCCAGGGATATGGACACTGAAGTTGACTTGCACTTTCTGTCGACTTTCAAGGTGGTACCTATGGGTAATCGTGAGATGTGTTGGCTCAGTTGACGATTCAGGCCAGAACTTTGTTAATTGTTAACGGATGCCATATCAAAGGGATCGCCACGACGGATGTCAAGAGCGGACACTCTGCAAACAGATAGTTTGGTTCTGCCTGGCAAGGTTCTACAGATCAGCAACGCTAGACCCTTAACCCAAAAAACCTGAGCCGCGTCCACAATCCTCATATAATCCCATATATCGCGGTTTCCAGTTCATGTTCCATTTGATTCTCCATTATTCGGGTATATATAATCCCCTATATCGGACCATTCAACCCAGCAGCCTTCAGAGGCAGAGCAAGTTGGTCCTGCTTCCTATTGGCCCACGGCGATTGCCGCTCAATCCAAGACCAATCGGTTACATAGGGGTAATGGAAAATAAAATGGAAATTACCGTAATGGAGTTACATATGGTTTACAATCACCTAAAATCCGGCGAAGCCCACATGATGCTGGATCAGGCTTGCAGGTCGGCGATCGGTTGCACAACCGCCCGCTGTACAGACTTCCAACCGCGTTCCCAATGGTCCTTTGGCCACGTGCTAACCAGAGCATGGAACGGACGATGTGTTCTACCTTCGGCTTGGCTTTCAGCTGCCCTTATCGAGTCGAACTGCCGATTTCGGGTGGAATTGTGTAGTGCTAAAGTTTCCGAGTTTCGTTTGTCTGGGCTACTTGAAGACTGTTACACCTACACTATTCTCTGCCCTGTATTACTTCCAACATATTCTAGTTGCTCTTCACCTCTGCATGCAGAAGCAGGACATCATTGTGTTGTTGCTCCTTGCTTCTTCCCTTTGGCTTAGCTGGGCTGTTCTGCCAGGGAAGCCCGCAGATGGTGCGGGTGTTGGAGATAAGAAGCAGCATGGCACATTGTGAAAATGATGGCCTCTTTTGGAGCCCCATGCTTGTAGTCTGAAATGTGAGTAATACAACACCTAGTAGTTTAGGTAACCCAAGAAGGGCCCAAGAAGGATCAGAATTTGGACCACCATCCATATGATATCATATGATGTTTTGATTGATCTTTTCAGATTGTGGTGGCTTGGTTGGTGCCATTCAGGGGCTGCGTTTTGGCTTGCCCGGCGATGGGCAGAAGCCGAACGCGCCCGAACTCAGAACTGAGCCTTCATGCAATAATACAATGCAAGGCGCAACACGGAGAACATGTTTCACCTAGAGATGACTTTCCGGTCTAGCGAACGGAAGAGCGGTTCCTGTGTTTGCGATGAGCTGTGTCTTCCGAGAACCTCCGTACTTATAACGTCGCCCCAGGACCCCTGAAATTCTAAACCGCGAATCCCAAATGATAAAACCTGAAGCGTGATGGCTTAGCAGGACCCACGACGCTCCAGCATGCCATGGCAGCCCTCATAGCCCGTTTGAATGAAACCGAAAGACTTTTGTTGTTGGGCAGGACCCAAGCCGAAAGTGCGTAGCGCGGAACAGTGAAGCGATGTCATGCAAAACCAATTGAGCAGTGTTTTTTGGTGGTTGAACCTAGTAAGATAATATTCCTTATATAAAATACTATACCCCAAAAGGAGGATATAATCTTACTCTATAATGGGTACCATAGTACCATAAATAAAATACTATTCAATTGATTCGGAAAACAGCACAGCAGAGCTCTCGAATCCTCAAGCCGAGCGTCAGCCTGTTTTACGATACTTCAGGGACCCATAATAAAGCCTCCCTAAGACCTCCCTAAGACCTCCCTAAGGCCTCCCTAAGGCCTCCCTAAGGCTCCTCAAGGTCCCGAAAGGTCTCCTTTCATGGGGCCCCCTTACATGGGGCCCCCTGAGGGCTTCCATAAGGCACCAAACATGGGAACCCCAAATTTCTTTGCATGGTTTAGCTTTCGGTGACATCCAAGGTGTAAATCCTGACACGGTTTAGACCTTGCAGGACTACCATGACACAGACAGAACAGTGCGACCT